GAGGAGGAGGGGGGGGAGGGGGAGAGGGGGGGGGCGGGGGGGGTGTCAATGTGGTTTGCTTGTGGCTTCGGAAGAAGAAGACGGCCACACCACCAGCACATTCAGTGCAGCCGCAGCCTCTTTTGTCTCTCTCGCTGCCCTGCACTCCTTTCACACACACACAACATTCTTAGTCTTCTCCCTCTCTCCCCTCCTCCTCTCTGATCCTCAATGGGACATAACATGTGAGAAGCCTTCTTTAAAAAGAGTGTGGGGGGAGAGACCTAAAGATACGCCTTACTGCTCCCCCCAAACACACCGAAATGGCTTCTTTTTTTTAATTCGATAACCCTCCACCTTACTGTTTTCTATGAATAATAATATATTACAATATTTGTGTTGCACCTCAGTCAAGCATTCACACAGTACTACTCTCCAAATAGCGCTATAGTATTTGCCAGGAAACCCTAAACTGCCTGTCGTTAATGCTGCTCTGCAAATGTCCTCATGCGCATCATGTGATTGAAAATGTATTCAAACAATTAGGAAAATTTAATTTTGCACTGGGAAAAAAATCTTTGGTTTAAAAAAAAAAAGACTGAGGTTCATAAGGAATTGTTCAGTGATTGAATGAAATCTCCACGTGGGGCTCGGCCTCGCCACAGTAAACACTAGGCAACTGGACCAATCAGCGTTGAAGAGGCCCACGTGGGGCCCGAATGGCTGTCTACTGATTGGAGAATGGAGGTAGTTCAGAGTTCTACACGTCAATCAAGGAGTCTACAGCCACTCTGCGAGGTTAACCCTTTCCTGGCTACAAGGAGGGATGGGAGAAGGAGAGGAGAAGTCTGGTGGTGGTTTCAGGATTCAGTGGTTTTCCCTTTTCTCCCCGCAAACAGTCAGTGCTTTTAAACCTGTCACATTTGCCCTAATTTTGTCCCCGTCCACACTGACTCAAAAGCACATCTTTATTATTTTTACACCATAGAGTAAAAAAGAAAAATAGTCATGACCATAGGGGAGTGGAACCAGAGACCAAACAGATCTATAATCACAAGGCCGCCAGCTACCAGCAGGAAAACAGCACTGATCATGCAGAGACTTTACATGAAATATATACATAATATAACATTGGGAAAAAGTACAATAACCATGTAGAAAAGGAGAGCGCTGGTGGAAAAATTGGTATTCTGGAGGTACGACCCCTTTAGCAGGGCTCATAATTAGAGAGAGAGAGATATTGAAAAAGCAATTTCTGACAGTGGAAATCACAACCTGCCAGAGGTGGAGTTGGAAAATATAGATGAGTGTGTGTTTGTGTGTGAGTATATAAAGTGAGTATGTGTGTAGAGGGGGGGGGATGCGGGGATGCGGGGAGGAGCGGGGGGGGGGGATGCTGAGAAAGAAGAGCCAGTAGGAGGGTTAGAGATTGAAAGAGAGGGAGAGAGTGCACACGAGTGATGAAAAAAAGGCCTGTGTGTGTGTGTCTGTGTGTGTGTGTGTGTTGAGCAGACTAGTGAGGGAATTAAAAAAAGAGAGGAGGGTAAGAGGAGCCTTCAAGGGGAGGTTTTAAAGGAAGGAGAGAAAGAAGGG